CTTGCGACCTCTTAATCATATGCACTGAGACCTTCACACGTGCATTCACTATATAACGAACTCACATAACTTATCTTATTTGAATTTGAGAATGATGGCATGGAGCCGTCGAAACGTCATTCTTTAATATCGCTGCTTTTTATTCTTAATTGTTCTTGTTTTAGTGTAGTTTTCATATTTTGAGGACGTTTTTAGTAAAACAAATGATTTTACTCTGCGCTACGCGTCTCACTGGCTATCTATTTAACAAATAAATTCCACGTTACGTCTGTTCTGTAATAGATAATAGATGACGTCAAAAATGTGCCACGAACAAAGAAAGTGGCACACGAGGCGAGAGCCGCGTGTACCACTAATGTTCTTAGCACATTTTGACGTCTCTTGTGGTCTATTACTGAACAGACGCACGGCAACATGGAATCTATTTGTTAAAGAAACAGCAACAACAGCAAAAGTTAATGGTGTTACTTATACGTATGTCCTCCAATAGATGACAAATGAGAACCAATCAACATACGAGAAAAAAATTGACTTATTATGTAACATCTCCTATCCAACGCGCGCTCGTGGAATACTTGTCAAATGTCAATTGCTACTTTTATTAAAAGCTACCTTTTCGTGTGACGTTTTTAAGACGAAGTACTTGCGATTTTGTTAAACCAAATGATAAGCGACAATGAATATATGAAATATCATATATAAAACAGCGGATGGAAGATTTGGAGAAATACTAGAGAAGATCGTCGCAGTGATGTATGCAACTTTATCGGTTGGGAAAAAAGGCCTGAAAAAGATTCACACTTGAAAGGGGTTTGGACTCACGACTTCTGTGATGCCGGTGCAGTGCTCTACCAACTGAGCTATCAAGCCAACTGTGAGCTTGTTGTTTTGTGAACTGGTAACAAACCCGTAACAAGATGAACAAGTAACAAAGAAAATATGAAACATTTCAGACGAAACCATGGATATATGCACCTAATGTAAATCCAAATCATTCCTTGAGATACCAATCACTCTATGATACGGCGCGCAATATATATGAAAATTGGGCACTGACAAATAACTTATGATTGCCAGGTGTTTTAAACAACGGATAACTAACTGTTTCACATAAGATGAATTAAATACGCGTGAAAGCACAACAATCGTTAATAAGCTATCATTGAAAAAACACAAAACTTAACTATCTTTAATTGATCCTGAGACTGAGGAACGTTGAAGATCACCATCTGGTAAATATGTCCTTTCTATGAATTTGTAAATTTTGATAAAATCCTTGCTCATTATCTCATTCTTATGTTTTTGCTATAGATTTAGAACGCGCATGCGTAATAACAACATATCATAACATAGCATAAAACCTTTATTTTAACACGATAATAATTAAAGCTACAAAGCTTGTTAACAGATTTCGTATGCATCAACAGATAATATAAAAATTTATCCAAGCCTAAAAGCAGAGCTCCTGATTGCAATAACTAACCATAAATAAAAAAAAGGGGATTTGTTTTCTTTGATCAGAAACTCAAAAAATGAGCAATTATGAGCATGTAATTGTTCAGCTTGTGGTTTTACTATTTCTTCCAGTTTTAACAAACTGACGAGACGATTGTGCAAGGAATATGTCGAAATAAAAGTCAACAACGCGCCAGGGATTAATTTGCGCCAAAATTTTGCTTCCCCCCTTCCCTGAGCTGTCATAGAGTGATTTCAATAAGAAAACAAACTTAGTGATCGAATGATAAAACAATTATTGAACTCGGTTATCGCGAAATATCGTGATTTGTCAGCGTCTCGCAGATCAATTGTTTGCCTCAGCCTTTAGAACAGCACCTTGTTACTTTACATGTACCTGCATCTCAAGTAATCTTTGACTGTGTGATGTTAGGCGTTGGCCTTTAAACCCTAGAACATAGCAAAACTGATTCCTGATGGCAACTAACAGTGCGCAAAAAACTGTTAAAACATTGTTGGGAGTCCCTGGCACATCAAAGACAACTCTGTTTCCCCTAATTCATTGGCTTATTTTCAATGGTAAATCAAATTGATGAGGTGCTCGTTTCAGATTTATAAAAACGGAATGATTGTATAAAAAGACGAGAATTATAACACATTTCTGAGAGGTGTCGGACCTACGAAAAACCTGGGGAGAAAGAACTTTCTTCTATTGAAAAATCCCTCGTGCAATTTCTTCTTTAAGTTGCGTACATATCCTTGAACGGCTGTATGTTAACGATTAGGTTTAAAGGGTAAATCCGTAATTATGGACAAAGAGAAAAAAATGAAATTGTAACTTGCTCTTTAGCAATTGTATTTATCTTTTTACGACAAAACAGAAAAAAAAAAAGCTAAATAAACGAAACTGGTAAAAAATTGGCCGAACTAGAACTCGAAACTTATTTTTCTATGATGCCTAAGTACTATACCAAGGCCAAACCTTATTTATTCTTACCTTTTAATACTTTTTAACCCTCTTTTGCGGTCCTCTGAGAGTGGCAAGGATATAATGTAAGAGTATTACTTACCAACCAAGATTTAATCAGTGAATCTTAACTTGCCACGTATAACCTTTTTGCCGGTAGTATTCAACTTTTAACAGGTTTTTTGAAGACATGACCAGCCCTCTGTTCCCTTTAATGATGTTAATTTTACGCGAAATGTATTAACATCGCTGACACTTAGAAAAATGGCCAAAGAATTCAAATCGTGTCTCGAGTAAAATATCTGTTTTTTTTATATAGCAAACGCGATCTTCTCCAATTATATCTTAAAAATCCGGAGGAAACGCAAACATCGCTATTCCGCTATATAAATTCTCGTAAGAAACCATTTTAGGCGTTTGCCTCCCTAGTGATATCAACGAGACGCCGGACCAACCGGCAACCTCAGGCGGCTTGACCTTCCTGGGTCTGTGTTCTTGGGGTCGACGAAAAGGCACAACAGATTCCACTTTTTCTGTACTTCATTAGGGTGTTTCATTAGCATGTGTTCAATTATTAATTAACTTGACGAAGTGGATGTTTCATTTCGATCTGAATCAAATGATGAAAGAGGAAGCAAAATTAGCAGTGAGATACTTATTGTGTAAATCGGCGAAGTTAGCGAGATAAAAATTCGTTTAGAAATATGCCTCGTACTATTATTAATCACTTTTAAGTCGCGTTAGGATGCAATATTTACGTTACTGGGAAAATCCAACATATAATTCTGGAGCTCAAACATTACATCCCCAACATAAAAGGCACAGTAAGAAAAGGCTTACGATTACAATTAAATGAGTAAGTTATTGCAGAGCGTTTGTATGAACTGGCTTGTGATTTCTAGTGTCAAGATGTACCAATGTCGATGTACTAATCTCGCTTTCCAAAAGCGGGAATCGGGAGGGGAAACAACACGATTTATAATGTCTTTACACGCCTTTATTACAGTACAGTTATTATACATCGAACATGAGTTCTAATGGCTATACGGTAGCTTACCTTTTAGAGCTTTTTAATCTTTCTTTTGCGGACAAAAAGCTTCCTCTGATCCCGGTGCAAACGATAATGGTGCAATGTAAGTGTATGACTCAGCAGTAACCAGGAATAATTAAATCACCGGT